CAGTAAAATATATATATATATATATATATATATATATATATACATATACATGTGTGCTAACTAATTATATTATAAATATTACCTACAAAAAAATAACTTATTATAAATTACATGATGTTATAGACATATAAAATAAAATGGTTCAGTGGTTTAACTAGTTGAGCTTAAGAACTACATGTACTGGGTCTTGGGTTCAAATCCTACCATGACCTCATATATTTTTATAAATCAATTAAAATTAGGAAAAGATAAAAGTCACTTCCTTAATGAAAATCAATTAAAATAAGCCAAAGTGTTTAGAACTGGAGGAATCCAAGTGCATCCAAGTGCTTACGTGGTATGCCTAAGAACACCATTTTATCAAATGGTATGCCTAAGAGCACATGTTTATCAAATATTCCCTCTACCATAATAGAATTACGCACTTCCTTACGTAATCAAAGTAAAAACCACCCCTATAAATAGTAGCATCCGTTTGAACGTTCGAAGCAGCAACGGAAGAGAACGTAAAAAGAGCCCTCCCCCCGCCACTCCCCTTGTCTCTCTAATTAAGTGACACCACACTAAAATATCGTTCCTTCAAAGTATTATGTCTTAGGTTATTTATTTATTTTTTTATGAGATGTCAGTGGGACTAAATTGATTCAATTAATTAAAGTGGGACTAAATTGACACTAATAAATAATATAAGGGACGAAAAATATATTTTTGCCAAAATTTAATGCAATGCTTTATTCAGTGCAATTTTTTGGAAATTAACTGCTTACAGCATTTTGCCTGGTTATTGTGATGAGATATACCTTGTGAGATAAGGCTATTGTTGTATTGTGATGAGATGTGCGACTGTGCAATAAGAAAAATAATACCAGCATTTATTTTGAGAGCACTCTTTTGAAGCCTAAATTGTTTGAGACTGGATTTGTCCTATTTTCCTCTTGTTCATTGTGTCCCTGACTGTGATTTGATATTATGTTGCAATAATTGAGAAAGTTGATGGTGAAAGATTGGCATTTGTGCCTAACCGCCTCCTTATGACCAGTTTTTCAACTCAAGGAATGCCTTTGTTTTTTTTAAATTTGCTGTCTGTATCCAATGTTTCCACTATAGAGAGATCATTTTCATGGTTCATCCAACTCAGTCTGCAGACTACCATTTTTTACTATGAGCAATTGATTATTTTCAATGGTATAAAATATGTTTTTAGGCCTCTAAAATTTTTGAAATTTGGTGCTAGTCCCTCTAATTTAAAAATGTATTACTTTTGGTCCTTAAAAGTGTTTTAGATGGATTCACCAAAAAAAAGTGTTTTAGATAGCGTTAAAAGCAGTTATAGAGAACTATCTAAATCACTTTAAAGATCAAAAGTGGTGTTTTTCCAAATTAGAGGATCAAAATATGACATTTTTCGAGGGGCTAAACCAAATTTGAGAAATTTTGAGAAACCAAAATTATATTTTACTCTTTTCAATATCTTTTGTTTGGGGGACCTTCTGAGCATATTCATAAACTAGGAAAAGCTCCTCATGACTAGCTGCATAGCCAATCAACTCTACCTTGACAACATCAATCAAAAGTACAACTCAGTCTATGGAAATGGACCAAGCAATTGGCTACAAAATCAAAGCATAATTTATTTTGATTAAAAAGGAAATTACCAGATTAGCATGATGAACCTTGCACAAAACTTTCATCTCTGACATAAATTCTTTTGTTTTAGTAGCTGTCATTCTTTTAATAGCAACTTCCTACAAGGATTTAATAAAAAAAGGTCAGAGAAAAAAAATACTCACTTTTATATTATAAGACTTAAAGTATACAGCCAAAACCTGGTCGAGAAGGAGGCTATAATAAACAGAACCATATGTTCCATGCCCAAGTAGATTTGAATCAGAGAAACCATCAGTTGAGGAAAAAATATCTTCGTATTTAAAAACTACAGGCTTATCCATGTCAAATACGTCAGGCCCTAGAGCTGCAACCATAATATGAATAGAATATTATGCATATATTCAAAATTTTAAAGGATAAATCATTAATGTTGTGTATTACTTTTGGTCCTTAAAAGTGTTTTAGATGGATTCACCAAAAAAAAGTGTTTTAGATAGCGTTAAAAGCAGTTATAGAGAACTATCTAAATCACTTTAAAGATCAAAAGTGGTGTTTTTCCAAATTAGAGGATCAAAATATGACATTTTTCGAGGGGCTAAACCAAATTTGAGAAATTTTGAGAAACCAAAATTATATTTTACTCTTTTCAATATCTTTTGTTTGGGGGATGTTGTAGCCTGTCAAGCAGAGTCAGATTCAAGTTGATAGTTGATGTGGCAGCTAGCGGCTATTTCTCTATGATGCAATTTCTTATGTGTTGAAATACTTGAATAAAAGTCCTAGAGGAGACGGCACTAAGAAAATTTGCATGATATTCAAAGATGAGGCTTGAATTGGTGTGAGGACTGCCTAATTTCCATGTTTTATTGTATGAACAAGTTTAAGCTGTGCATTTATAGTTTATGTCTATTTTGTGTCTTGCTTATAGGTCATTCCCCACTTTCTTGGATCATGAGGGTCCAGATTGCGCTCGATACTGCTAGGGGCCTTGAATACATACATGAGCACACAAAAACTCATTATGTCCACCGAGATATCAAGACAAGTAACATTTTACTTGATGCTTCCTTTAGAGCAAAGGTAATAACAAATTTATACGCAACTACACCTTTTTGAAGTTTGTACATTTGTTGTTTGTCATTGATCTTAGATCTCTTTCTGCTTCTCTAGATTTCAGATTTTGGATTAGCAAAACTTGTTGGGAAAGCAAATGAGGGAGAAATTTCAACAACCAAAGTTGTTGGTACATATGGATATCTTGCTCCAGAGTAAGTAATGTCCGCTAACAGTTTTTTTTTTCTTTTTGTAAACATTATTCCTCCTGTATAAGATAATATTTTAATTTTTTATTTCTTATATTTTTGCAGATATTTGAGTGACGATATAAAACTTGAGAATCCAGTAAGTAGGTTAGTTACTTGAAGCTTTGGGAATGGTAATCGTGTGATTGCTGGATTCTCAAAATAAATTATGCTTTGATTTTGTAGCCAATTGCTTGGTCCATTTCCATAGACTGAGTTGTACTTTTGATTGATGTTGTCAAGGTAGAGTTGATTGGCTATGCAGCTAGTCATGAGGAGCTTTTCCTAGTTTATGAATATGCTCAGAAGGGTTCACTTAGAAGCCATTTGCATGATCCACAAAATAAGGGTAAGATTATGCATGTATGCTTTGGTCTGTGGAATATTAATCACCACTGTTTGGGTGGACCTGGTGCTTTTAAATTTATATTTAGATTTTCATTTTTGAAAATTTAAGGCAAAAATACATTTTTCGTCCCTTATATTATTTATTAGTATCAATTTAGTCACACTTTAATTAATTGAATCAATTTAGTCCCACATCTTTAAAATGTATCTCAATGTTTGATTTTCCGTTTCTTCCGTTTAAATACTTAAATGGATTTGACACGTATCATGCCACGTTTCATGTTGTCATGCCACGTGTCATTCATCATATCATGTGTCATGCCACGTGTCATTCATCATGCCATGTGTCATGCCACGTGTCGTGATGTCCATCTGTGTGGCATGACAACATACATGTGGCATGACACGTGTCATATTTGTTAAGTATTTAAATGAAAGAGACAGAAAATCAAACATTAAGATACATTTTAAAGATGTGGGACTAAATTGATTCAATTAATTAAAGTGGGACTAAATTGACACTAATAAATAATATAAGGGACGAAAAATATATTTTTGCCAAAATTTAATGCAATGCTTTATTCAGTGCAATTTTTTGGAAATTAACTGCTTACAGCATTTTGCCTGGTTATTGTGATGAGATATACCTTGTGAGATAAGGCTATTGTTGTATTGTGATGAGATGTGCGACTGTGCAATAAGAAAAATAATACCAGCATTTATTTTGAGAGCACTCTTTTGAAGCCTAAATTGTTTGAGACTGGATTTGTCCTATTTTCCTCTTGTTCATTGTGTCCCTGACTGTGATTTGATATTATGTTGCAATAATTGAGAAAGTTGATGGTGAAAGATTGGCATTTGTGCCTAACCGCCTCCTTATGACCAGTTTTTCAACTCAAGGAATGCCTTTGTTTTTTTTAAATTTGCTGTCTGTATCCAATGTTTCCACTATAGAGAGATCATTTTCATGGTTCATCCAACTCAGTCTGCAGACTACCATTTTTTACTATGAGCAATTGATTATTTTCAATGGTATAAAATATGTTTTTAGGCCTCTAAAATTTTTGAAATTTGGTGCTAGTCCCTCTAATTTAAAAATGTATTACTTTTGGTCCTTAAAAGTGTTTTAGATGGATTCACCAAAAAAAAGTGTTTTAGATAGCGTTAAAAGCAGTTATAGAGAACTATCTAAATCACTTTAAAGATCAAAAGTGGTGTTTTTCCAAATTAGAGGATCAAAATATGACTAGACGTTACACCTTACCTCAACCATATTGGGCACGAGTTAAATGACATTAGACATGGGTGAGGTAGAGAGCTCCTCACCTCAATGGCACCAAGCACAAGATGTGTGGCATCAAGCACAAGATGTGTGGCATCGAGTGCAATTTGTTTTGAAAACACTTATTATGTGTATGATTAAATGGTGAACATGGATAGATTAGGTGAACCCATTGCATATTGTATGTTGATTGATGGTATTGCTCTATGTATATTGATATGGGATGATATATGTAGATGATCGTAAGGTTGACTGATTGGTATGCATTTGTATGCTAGAAATTTATGAATGTTTTTAGATCTATATTCATTAACATGAGGTAATAATGAATATAGATGAATGTTGTTGAGGTGAATGTTGAGAGTACTTTAGGCATTTAGGCATGGTGTGTTGATCTATTGAGGTGTTGATGTTGAGAATGCTATAAGTATTAAAACATGTTGATTGACTTAGGACTAGAGGAGATGATGTTTTTGAAAGTTGAATATCTCATTGTGTGATATTGGTGTGACACTTTTGGAGGTCAGTTGTTGAAAACCCTTTTTGAGTGTGTGATAACTCATAGAGTGGATTGTCGAGGTTCTTCTAGGTCCTTAATTAATGTTGAAAATAAGGTATAAAGTATAGGGTTATTACCTTTAACTGATTACTAGATAGGTGTATGGTATTGCAAGGATAGTTAGAGGGTTAATCTCACAAGTGACTTAGTTAATGCATGTCAAGGTCATGGTAGCTCACACCAAAGCTATATTATATCTGACGATGGTGTTGAACTTTCCTAGTTTAAGTGACGACATCTGAGAAATTAGAGGGTAGAAATCAATATCCCAATTTAACTGTTGATTTAGTGGACACTTAAGACAAAAAAATGATTGGGTTGGTTCGGTAGGTCAAACCACTTAAACTGTTTAGGTGTTATAGGAGATCTTCATATAGGTGAATGTGTGATGACACATTAGTTGGGGTATATGTATATAATGTTTTGTGATTGATGTTGTTCATATGCATTGGTGCCTATATGGTGGTATGACATGTTTGTGGTGTACATTGAGTTATTGATTTTCAAACTTGTTGATGCCATGTTGATAATTGTATAATGTGAGCTATAAGGTGCATGTTGAGTGGTTCATAGGGTGCATGTTGAGTGGTTCACATTTTATTGTTGGTAGTATATTTGAATTTCATATATACTTGTTATATGTTGATCTTTTTGAATCTAGCTTACCATTGCATACTTTCTTGGTGATTGGACTATAATGATTATGACTTTCATAGGAGTAGAGCAGGGTTAGCTATAAGGGGTGAGGCGTTTTGAGACCATGTTGGTGGATGGCTTGTGGAAGTTTCTTTTAGTGGATTAATCTTATGCAATCAATTATACAGGTGCTGCTTAATTGGCAGCCTAGGATTACTATTAGGGAACGTTTGGTAGGAAAGAAGTTTTTTCATATTCAATAATCATGATTCCTGAGAATTAAAAATATTAGGAATCATGATTCTTAAAAATAACTAAAATCTGTTTGGTTACTCAAACATTCCTCGGAATACTCATACAGGATTTCCAAATTAAAGATTTTCATATTTTGTCGCAATAGTATATTATTAAGTATATAAATATTTTTCACAAAAATATCCTTTACTAAAATAAATTCATTAGATATATTTATTTACTCAAATTTTATTATAAATTTGACATTAAACTGAGTTAATCATCCATACACTGCAGTAGCAACCAATCATATCTTTTAAATTATTTTATTTTATTTTTATTTTATTAAATAAGCAACTAACTGACATGACACTATTAAAAGATATGATTGGTTGTCAGTGTAAAAAAATTTTACTCTGGCAGTGCATAGGAGATTAACTCTTAAACTATTTCAAAAGGTTGAAAACTTATTAAAATTATTTAAATACAAAATTTAACAAAAAAAGAAAAATGATACATTATAATTAAGAAAAATAAAAATGTATTATTTCATTTCATTTAAATAAAATAAAAAAAGTTAACAAATACCATTAAAATGTGGAAACAAAATATACTTTAATAATATTATTAAAATTGATAAGGTTAAAAAATAATGAGATACAAGAGGGAGAGAAAAATAAAGATATGGGAGGGAGAGAGGGGGAGGGAGAGGGAAAGGGAGAGATGGAGAGTGAGAGAGACAAAGAGCAACAAAGAGAGAGAAAGAGAAATAAAAGGAAAGAGAGAGAAAAAGAGAAAGGGAGAGAGAGAAAGATAAGGACAAAGATAAATAGAAAGAGAGAGAAAGATATATTTTTTTTGTTTTTAAAAGAATATTGTGCTCTTTTGTATACATAATTTTTTTTCCCTAATTCAAGAAAGTTGAATTTTCATCTCTCCTTATGAAAATATTTTTGTGAGAAAGTGGAATAAAAATGGTTTCCAGGAAACTATATTCTTGAGATTTTTTTTTAAATAGCTTCCAAACATGAAAAATCAATATTTTCAAGAAAGTAAAAGCATTTTTATACCAAATATCTCCTTATAGTCTTTTGGATCACTATATATATTTATATGTATAGTTTTATGTTACGTAGTTAATTATGCAACTTCCATCACATGCATACGTATATCTTTATTGTGAGTTCATGAAGTATTTGTGTGTTAGTCTTAAATAATGATAATTTTTTCACTATCAGTAGTATTCCATAAGTGTAGTGATCATAAAATATCGTTACAATCCAAACCATATATTAATAATTATAAATAATAATATATTTATTATTAATTATTTGTGAGGTAAAAATAATTACTATTAATTAATATTTTAATAATTAATAGTAAATATTAATCATGCATCAATAATTATATTTATTTCTCTTAAAAAATAATTTTATTTATTTATTTTTAACCATAGGTCAAATAAAATTAACCATTTTGTATGTATAACTAGCTTGATTACACATAATGAATGTATATAACCTTTCTTTATTTATAACAATTATAATGATAATAATAAAATTGGTAATTAAAATTATATAATATTTAATTTTTGGTATAAGCCGACTCCAATGGTTATGTATATCACGCTTTGTAAAAAAGAGTGAAGTTGCCAATTACACTTACAAGTTACAAGAGATACCATACCACTTGTTAAATTAAGAAAATTTGGGGCAATCCCAAACTTTACAAGTTATTCACCTTTATAACTAGAAACTCTTGCATGCAACGAAGAAGCAACTTGAAAAGTCAATTTCCTTTTGGCTCCCTTAATTAGGCAAGTGCATGAGAAGTGGGCTAGCATACCAAGATCCTCTTCCAATTATGCCGTTATATTCAAATCAAGAACAAATTCTCCAATTTCTATGGATGTTATTTAAAAATCAACACACCCTTGCTTTGCACTATACTATTCTCTTTTACATCCCCTCCACTGCATTCTTTTTAACAAAATAATAATATAAGACAAAACTTATATACAACATTCTACGTATTATTTTTTCCATTATCTTCTGATAATATTATATATTGACATTTAATAAAAAAAATTATTATGTATATTATGA